GCCTTGTGTGGTTGGGCAGGTGCAGTGGGCCATGTTGTCAGCTTGTCCCTTCTCTTTTGCCGCAGGAAGAACTGTCACCCCTGTCACTGAGTATACATGTGTGTGTGTCTGTGTGTGTTCTCAAGAGACTATGACAGTGCATGGAAGAGAGGCTTTGTTAGCTCCACTAGAAACAGCTGAATGCAGGAACTAACTAACTAACTAACACTGAGATTGTTGAGAATGACTTAGTATGAAGGGTGTTTTACACCCTCAAACCGGAACGGCAAACCCTTCAGAGAGCAAAACTTTACGGCAGATAACACAGCTGCAATGGGAGAAGAGTTCGTACACTGTGTGTGATGTGTTGACACATTTTAATTACACACAGGCACACATTTGCACAGGGGAATAAAATGTGGTCATTCTAGACAAACCATATTAAGACAAGCATGTGGTAAGAATGTATCACTCCTATATAACTATTTGTGAACTGAAAAGAGAAAACAGGAACAGCCTACAGATTAGAAAGGCAGGCTTTAGCCCATGAGGTTGCCAACTTAAATTCTCCCAATTAAAAAGGGAAGCCCTCCAGTAATATCTTAAAACTCAACTCTGACCAAAGGCTGAAAATATTGACTATACTGGATGACCACTTTTTATTAATGTGTTAAGTTCAAGTGAAGAGGGGTAGAAGCGAAACCCACAAAGCCTGTCCTAGAATATGTTGCCAACCAGTATAGGTTAAGAATATGTCACAATTGTTTTTATGGGTGAGTCAACCCCATTCAGGTGGGACCCAGCAAAAACAAGCAACAACACATCTCCCAAGACAAAATACAAGACTCCAACATGGCTCAGTGGGTTACTCAGTCAAGGCCTTAGAGAGTCTCTGTGTGTGTAGTGTGTCTGAATGTGTGTGTGTGTGTGTGTGTGTGTGTGTGTGTGTGTGTGTGTGTGTGTGTGTGTCCAGTGTGGGGCAATGGCCCTAGACAAGTGCTCTGCCAGCTTTCTGCCCACTGGTCTTTTCACTGCTGATGGATGGAACTTGTTCAGCACCATCTGGCTATAGGATACTTCACATTAATCATCACAAACACACACACTTCTCTCAAACATACACACACCAGACAAGCAAGCATCTGACTCAGACACATTAAATGCTGGTAAATATGGATAGGCAAAGTGTAAGAAAAAAGGAAGGAACAAGAAAGAAAAAGAATACAAGATAATGGGAACCAAAAAAAAAAGACAAAACTAATATTTGTGCTTTATTCACAGTCCATTTTTTCTGGCATTTTAGCCATTTTCTCCATTTGTGACTCAGAGATTAGGAGAGCTTGGCACAAAAACATCAATTAGTTCATTTAAAAACATTGCTTCATTTATTTGATAGCCTGGAGCTATGGAGCGCGCGCACACACACAGACACACACACAAAACCCTTGCATACATAACCCATAAGCCCAATGTCCAGGATCTTTGTAAAATGAGGAACATTATTAGAAGCTTATCAGACATTTAGTTCTCTCTAACCGGGCTATATAGGCTTAATACAAGCTGATTTGCTTGAACATGGTATATGGACATGAGCAAGGACAGGCAGAACTGTGACTGATCTGGAACGAAGCATGCTTTACACTAAATGTATTATCATTAAATCACATCTTATAGCTGTCTGGATTTCTAATGCAAGGGGATTAAAGTGCAGTCTATGGAAAAAATAAGACCAACAGGAACATGGCTGTAAGTTGAGCTGCATGAAAGATTGATAAACTTGCTTGACATGTTACTAGGGTTATCAGATACTATATAATGTGACGGAATTACTTTTGGCACATTTTATCCACAAAATATAGTGACATGGGTAATTTTATCAGTAGGTTAGTTGACATTTTACTGTGCCAGAAAATTTAAAAAAAGGGGATCTTATATAGTAAGGAATGTGATATATCAGAGCAAAGCAACCATTTTTATCACACAATTCATATTTACATGGCTCCCTTAAAAAAGTGGTTGTAAACCTAGTGTATATGGGATATCCCTGGCATAATAATGTAAATAAATACAAATCTAAATAGCTATTAACAACAATGTGTTTAACTAAATGAAAAAATATCATTACAAATGAAATAAAGTGAAGAAATCTGAAGGCAAAAATGTATTCTTCTAAAATTTGATTTTTCTAGCTCGTCTTAGAGGTCTAAGAATTGGTGGGTACAGCGCTTTTGAAGCGATACCTCAAACAAAATATCTTTTGAGAATCAATCAGAAAAAAAATGATAAAATACAGTCATGCATTTTCATGAATGAAATAAGTATTTGATCTCCTATCAGTCAGCAAGATCTCTGGCTCCCAGGTGTATTTTATACAGGTAACGAGCTGACATTGGGAGCCCTCTCAGCTCGTTACCTGTATAAAAGAGACCTGTCCACAGAAGCAATCAATCAATCCAGATTCCAAACTCTTCACCATGGCCAAGACCAAAGAGCTTTCCAAGGATGTCAGGGACAAGATTGTGGACCTACACAAGGCTGGAATGGGCTACAAGACCATCGCCAAGCAGCTGGGTGAGAAGGTGGAATCAGGCCAGAACATACTCGGGAGGAACTTGTCAATGATCTCAAGGCAGCTGGGACCATAGTCACCAAAAAAACAGTTGCTAACACACTACGCTGTGAAGGACTGAAATCCTGCTGTGCCCGCAAGGTTCCCCTGCTCAAGAAAGCACATCTACAGGCCCGTTTGAAGTTTGCCACTGAACATCTGACTGATTCAGAGGAAGACTGGGTGAAAGTGTTGTGGTCAGATGAGACCAAAATCAAGCTCTTTGGCATCAACTCAACTCGCCTTGTTTGGAGGAGGAGGAATGCTGCCTATGACTCCAAAAACACCGTCCCCACCGTCAAATATGGAGGTGGAAACATTATGCTTTGGGGGTGCCAAGGCAACAAAGGATTGGCTCAAGAAGAAGCATATTAAGGTCATGGAGTGGCCTAGTCAGTCTCCAGACCTTAATCCCATAGAAAATCTGTGGAGGGAGCTGAAGGTTCGAGTTGCCAAACATCAGCCACGAAACATTAATGACTTGGAGAGGATCTGCAAAGAGGAGTGGGTCAAAATCCCCCCTGAGATGTGTGCAAACCTTGTGGCCAACTACAAGAAACGTCTGACCTCTGTGATTGCCAACAAAGGTTTTGCAAAGGGATCAAATACTTATTTCATTCATGAAAATGCAAATTACTTTATAAATTCTTTTGTAATGCATATTTCTGGATTTTTTTTTTGTTATTGTGTCTCTCACTGTTCACATAAACCTACCATTGAAATTGTAGACTAATCATTTCTTTGTTAGTGGGCAAACTTACAAAATCAGCTGGGGTTCAAATAATTTTTTCCCTGACTGTATACAGCTAACAGAGAATGCATGCAAATGTACATGAAAGAAGTGGATTTTTCTGCAAAGATAATTTGCAAAATTGACAGTGTTTGATTACTGTGATAATTTGTTATTAAATTCCTATTTTAGGTGCTGTTATACAAGTTTCTTTCAAGGGTTTATGGAAGTGGTGTGTATGCAATATGCAACATATTGGGCCACACTTTTTTGGCCCTACGTAACCAACTGAACAATTTCTTGATCCAATATCAGGAGTATAATTTAACTCACAGAACAATCTAAACTGGAATAAATCAGCTTGTTTACAAATAATCGACAAACTAGTGAACAGAAAAAAGTCATATCTGTGAGACGGAGCAGCTCAGCACAGCAGGCTCAGTATGGCACACTGTCAAGACAGTTGGTTTCTCAATTCATCTGGGAATCATACTTGAGGAGAAGGCATGCTCACAAATACTAAGCATCTAATTTAGATGCAAAGATGTTAATGTATTATAAAGATATTCTGTGTTAACTTTGCTCAGCTCAGATTCCCTGTGTGTCTAGGATGTGTGCTTATACACTTGATATTATTAGTGTGCCTGTGTGTTTCAGGGTGCGGGAGGCAAAGATCCATGTCTGGCACAGTGAAAACGTGATCTCTCTCATATCCTTTTAATTAATGTGTAACAACTGCACCACAGGCACAAACTCCTCTAGAGGTAAACTATGCAGCAAAACAAAAAAATCTTGGCTAGGTGAAAGTCCTGCTAAATGACATAGTGTTGCACCTGCAAGGACGGCTTCAATGACGTTCGCAACATTTACCACACCAAATGTTTTCAGTCCTTGTGGGGACATTTCATTGACTTACATTCATTTCCTGGAGACTAGCCTTAACCTTAACCTTAACCACGACTTGCCAAATCATGACCCTTAGCCTAACATTTAACCCTTAGCCTAATCTAACATAAACCATAAACCAAATCATCACTGAAATTAAAGAAAGGAAGAAAAGCAGAGTCCCTGCAATCAGAGTGTGCAAACAAGTTCTGGCCCCACACTGTAATTAATACCATGTGAGCATGAGCACGCATTCATATGCACACACCTGCACGCACGCACACACACACACACACACACACACACACACACACACACACACACACACACACACAGTGTTTACAGGGATCTCATCATCATTATAAGCATGCCTGAAGAGAGCCATGTTCAGTCTGATGTCAGATGTTAACCTCATAATGTATAAACCCATACACACAATGACTGTATTCACACACACTCACACAGACACAAAACAGGAGATTTATCTCTGACTTCTGAATATGATCTCTCACAATTTAATCAGGGAGCACTTGAGGTGTCCTCATCCACTAGATTGCTGACAAGAGGTGCCCATCTTCAGGAACAAACTCATCAGAGTCACAAGGACAATATTGCAGACCTACAACTACTTTTGAAGTCAAGTGAAGGCTTCTGGTCATGAAATGAACGTGGCTAAACATTCTTGGTTCTCCCCATTAAGAAAGTTGTAAAGAAAAAAAAAGAACTAAACCAAACAGAAGGTGGACAAACACAGAAATGTAAACCAGAGAAGTTAACATACAGCAAAAAATGTCTTACCTTATGGTCGTAGGGATTGTAAGAGTGGAAGAGTTGTGACAGCTCTTTAGTCCTCTGCTTCTTCTGTAGACAGCAAAAAGACAAAAATGAAATTTCAAGTTGAAAACATGTTCATAGAATGCATGTACAGTATAATACAGCTAAAAAGACTTAAAAATAGCCAAGGCTTAAAGATCACATGATTTAGATGTGCAGATAGTAGAGGATACATACAGTCACTGTGAACAGTATAGAGCGTAGATACAAATCTACTAGATACTTTCAACTAGAAATATGAGTGATGTCCCCTGTGTGCCAACTGCTCCGGTTTTGTCCTTTCTATGACAATTTGAACGTGGCTTGCTCTGAATTTATTGTTTATTTGGTTGTTGTTTCAGGGACCTGTGAAGCCGATTTTTGGCACTGCACAAATCAATCTCTTGAGTGCTCGTTCATTGGTATTAAAATGTTTCAGAGCGCTTTTAAAAGCAACATGGACATACTGCTTCACTCGTGAACTTACTGGGTCACTTGAACAGAAGGAAAAAACAACATGGCCGAGAAAAACACCTACAGTAGCTCATTAAATCTATAAAATATAGAATGAACAAC